TTAGCAATCACAGCACAGATGTCAGGATCCATGTTCCCTGAGCAAGCTTGGCACTAAACTGAGCAAAGCAACATAGCCACATACTGAGGTGGGGACACTACCTATGCAGCCTGCAACTCAGTGTGGGAATGATGTGCCAGCAATTTCCATTGGGACTGCCAAGTTCGGACAACATGCGAATGGGAAAAAGCCTGTTCTTTTCTTCCAGTCACAATGAGAATGTCCTACTTCTGTCCCACTCCCCGTTGCCCTGGGGTGACCTTCCCTTCCCTTTCAGCCACAACCAGTGCCCTCCTGGACAAGCCAGCCTTCTGCAGGGCCATGGAATGGGGTGTATGGAGGCATGAAGGCTTTGAGCGCCTTCTGCCAGGGTCTGGAGAAGAGTCTTCACCCAAAACCAAGGAGCAGCTCCTCTGTCACACATCCTGTCCAAGTGACCAGCAGTTTGCATGCAGGATGTTATCCCTGTGACTGTGCTTGTCCCATCTCAGTTGCACACTTGGCCTCTCACCATTAGTCTAGACGATTCTGGTCCCAAACCCTTACAGACAGGCAAAGGTACCTTTTTTTTTTTTTTTTCTTTAAGCTCCAAGATAAGTCTTTTAGGCAACAAAAAGACCTTCTCCAATTAGTTTGGATTTAATCCTGTTCTTGGATGGTTTCTTCTGTGTACTGCCTCCCTCCTTTGGAGGGGAAATGGAACTACTCAAGTTTCTATGGTCTTTGCACAAAATACATGAAGCACATAATTTTGCTGACTTGGGGAAAATGGCAGACAACCAAATGCATCAGTCAGGAACAATGAGCAACAGCTTTCAATGCCAACAACAGTTAGCAGCACTTTTTAGTGCATTAATAATTTACGCCACACAGAAAGTTTAATTTATTCAAAGTGAATGTTTTGTGGCATAGTTATAAAAGGCACATGTGATCCTGAGATAAAGTAACCTATAGAGGACCTCTTAACTCCTGGGTAGCCATACCCAGCCCGTCAGATCTCTTGATTTTATCACTGCTCTTTCTGTTCAGCCTGTAAAATGCCTCTCTCTGAGCAACAAAGACTGAAATAGGGGTGCACTCTGAGAGCGTATCCTTATCCACACAGATAAAATTAAGCTCTGAGGCCTCCCCATGCTAAATAAATGCCTGAAAATATGAAGTGTGTGCACCAAAACATTCAAGAAGATTGCCAGCAAAGGAAAATCAATATATACATATATATGTGTGTGTGTGTATGTATATACATATGTATGTATCCGTTGACCACTGTGACACAGGAGGATTTGCCTGGGGCTTGCCAGGTTATTAGCAATGCCCCATAGGTTGGAGATGCCTAATTTTGTCCTTGGACAGGAGGACACAGCCTCTGGCCAAGTCTTTTTTGCTGATGCTGCTCCTCGGCCTCCTCCCCTACCCCAGGCTCAGGATGGACAACACGTGAAAGGAAAAGAGGACAGAAGAAAACCAATTTGTGTGAGTTTTCGTGTGGTTTTAGGATGGGCCTGGAGATGCAGCATGGATTGGATTTTGAGAGGCTGCATCTGCCTCACATAGTACTTCAAGGTCAAGAAACTGGTTAAAAAAATAGAGCTAGTTATACAGGTGATCTTAGTTCTGTCTTAAAGTGCAACTCTAGAAATTTTCGTGCAAGTTCTTCCCACCAGCATATACATATGTGTACTAAACAAAATCACTTTCAAGGCCTTCAGCTGGTGACATGCAAAACAACTTTCTCTACTCCCCATCTTTTCCCACGGCCAGGATGCTTAGTGATCAAACAGCTAGAGGATTTCAATAATTAACTCCTTAAGCCTGAGTTTCGGAGACACACAGGTGATATGTGAAGGCTCAGTAGCAATGGCTTAAAAACAACTCACCAGGAATGTCTGCTATCAAGATATAGCAGCAAATGTTCACACTAGCCCACATCAGCTGTCCTTCCCCCCTCCTCGGCTTTCTTTAGTGCCTGTCACAAGCAAGGGCTCTAAAATGCTGAATGAGGGAGGAACATGAGGATTTGACCTCTGAAGCTTGTAGCGCACAGTTGTGCTCCAAGGCACAACTTGGGTTGAAATGAGCACAAAGTCCTCCTAATTTTTTTTTTTTTATTGCTTTCTTGGTCATGGGCCTGGCTAAAGCTTTATGAGGTAAACAACCCACTGGTCTTCTTTAATATATGTGCGCTTAGCACAGCATAATCTCGTATGATCCGCTCCCACCTGCATTGCCACCCGCACCACCTGCTCTACTGAAGGAAATGAAACCACTCCACTGTGTTGCCTAGTGTTAGTGCTAAGGAGCTTTTTCAAACACAAACAAATAAAAACTTACCAAACTGGGAAAAAAAAATGTGGAGTGGTCAGAGGAAATGAATTTGGAATCTGAGGTCCATGCATGTTTGCAGAGCCCTTTGGGATTACTTGGCTGGTACCTGCAAACCCAGCTGGGTACTCAATGCCCTTGCCCTAGTCCTCAGCTATGACCTTGTTGGAGGGAGTGGAAGGGAGGTCTCTGCATGGGAGACCCTTCTCATGCTGCCTTCAGGGCTTCTCCAGATCTTCCAAGTGGCTCCACTGTTGGAAACATATGGGTTGGAAATACATGAGTTTTCTTATGTATTTTGCTGCTGTTTTCTTTCTCTTTTGCAAAAAGAAGCTGGGAAAAAAAGCTTTAAAAAAAAAAAAAAGGATTATTCTCCTGTCTGGAATTAAAAATCTCCAAATGTGCATATTGCAGGAACGTTCGGATAGCAGCTAACAAAACAGATATCAGTCTACTGCTTCTGCTTATTCTTTCTAAGAGCGCTAGGGGGAGAAAAGCTATCAACTAAAAATTCATTAAGGTCTTATACATTATTAGCCTTCAGAAATCCTTGCTGCAGCATCTCCCTCCAGGATGCTCACAAAGGCTTCCCTCCAGTGAACACAGCAGCAGAGGGTGACTTAGGATCGACAGGGCAAAATTAGGTTGCTCCATAAGCTTAATGCTCATCATTTACAAAATGTACGTGAGGAGAGGATCTTGTGAGGCTGAGGGATAATTTATGCCAGTGTACTTTCAGCCAGCTGTTCTGGGGATATGTTTTTCTTTAATTTATCGTGGTGGATTGAGATGTAACTTCTGCAAATCTTTGACATAAATATGGCCCTCTATCTTCAGGCAGTGTATATCTACAAGATTGCTCAAAAAGCTCAGAATCTCATAGATTTCATCACAGAAACACACAAACACACAAAAATCAGCTGTGCAGCTCCTGATGGCTTCAAACTTACTGGCTTGAGATTTTTGGTAAAAGATTCAGCAGATCTCACACCCCGCCTCCCCCCAAAAAAATCTTGCTGCAGATATTCTAGGCCAGCATGTGAGAATAAAAGGGAAATTCACAGCAATGGTTTGGGATACAGGAGTGCTGTATGAGAATGCTGCAAGTTTTAAGTCCAGTTCTAGTTCTTGATTTATAAAAGCTTCTAAGCATGTTGTTAATACCACTTTCCTGAAGCACTGCTCTATTTGTAGAGCTTAGCTATCATTTGCATTGTTGACCAACAGCTAAAGAGTTTATAGCTGAGAAACACTGCATGCCACACTGGCAAAAACCATAAAAACACTAAAAAAAAAAAATCAACAATTTCCATAGGATTATTTTGTCTGCTCGAAGCTGAGTATATGCTCATACAAAGACCAATGCTATATGGCTCATGGTGACAAAAATGCTCTTTCACAGGCTGGATTTAAAAGCAGCTAAGAATTCACCAGCTATTTGGAGTGCAACATAAGCAAATTTCCTGGCTAAACACTATTCATGCCCTTCCCCTGTTCATAAAATAGCTGAGTGTTACGCAGCCATCTTAAAACAGCCTGATACGAGAGATAAGAAGTTACCAGCTAGGTGGAAAGCTGCCTTTCCAGGGGTGCCAAGAACTTAGCAGTTGCATTAACCAGTCTTACGGTACGACTGACTCTTCCTACCACCAAAATCCTTCACACAGGCAATGCCACTGCACAGTCATGGACTCCTCCATGGACAGAAGCTGGAAGAGCTCTGGAGAAAACTCCTGCAGCCTAAATAGCAAAGATATTGCAAGACTTTGGCAAGTGGTGCCCAAGCTTGTCCACTTTTTCTTCATCAAATAAAGTAAAACTGGGAGTGTCCATGTAGGCTACTGACCTATCTTTTGCTCGGTTTTGTGAAGGTTCTTCAAAAGCAACAGGCCCTTAGTTTTATCCACGCTCCTTCAGCACATAATTCCATGTTTCTGAGACGCAAATGCTAGTTCTTCATCAGAGAGGCCAGAAGATAAGTCAGATGGAAGCCAGGCCTATTTCTGGATAGGGGACATATTCATGTACTCTCCTTATTTTTAGCAGAAGACGGTGGGTAAATCTTAGCCAGCACGTTTTCAATCAATCTGTCCCTGGACACTAACAGATGGTGCTTCTTTGCGCCAAGCGCTAATGCACTTACTTCACATTGGCACTCTGTGTCAGGACGCATAACCCGCCAAGTCCCTGCTGAATCTGCTGATGCTGGAGAACTTGATAATAAACAGCTAGTGAGGGACACCGTCCCAATATTCCCTCTCAAAGGCAGCACAGAAGTTGTGCCAGTGCGACTGTGTCAGCCCCGTTCCAGCCAGTGGATATCAATTCAGGAATGAAGGAATTGTGATTGGAAGTGTAGGTATGTATCTAAAGATGGAAGCAGGTACCTTTGGTTCAGAGGGACTAGATGTGTGCTTAGAACTGAGCTGTAGAACTCAATGACTGGTGCCTTAATGCTCAAATATCTGATCTATGGCAATTAATAAAACTTTATATGTCAAAATATAACACAGTGGAGCAATTCGTCTGTTTAGTAATACTCTGAGTACTAAATACTCTGAGCCTGCTAAATTTAGTCTTGCAGGACAAGCGGTCGACTTCTTACGGTTACAAGTCATACCTACAATAAGGCCACCTCCAAAACAAAATTACATAGACGCTCCTGAGGAGCGCACTCAGTTTTACTGGTTGTTGTGTTTATTCTCTGAATACAAGCATCCAAAATTCCTCAGCTGTAAAATTTGTGTTCCTTTCCACCAGCAGTCTCAGTGCTCGGGCTTCCTTCTTGGATTGCTCGAAGCTGGAGATCCACATCTCTCGGACGGAAGGCTGGCCTGTGTTTGAAGATGAGAACCAGAAGGTTTCAGGTTTGGGGCAACTGAGGTGATTAACCTGAGCATTCCAGGTCTGTGGCAGCCATCCCTGCAATGGAGAGAAAACAAGAAAAAAAAAAAAAAACAAGAAAAAGAAAAAAGAAAAAGTAGGAAAGAAGTTATTAGGAACGCTCAAAGAGAGGCTATGTTAGCAACATACCAAGCAACCTCATCGACATTTATCTTCCCATCACAGGCTCCAGCCATGTCCCTGTGGATTGCCCTCCCCTTCTAACTCAATAACTTCAAATACTTTCTTGGCCTCTCTTCTACCATTTAACATACTGGTCAAATTGCCTCCTGCAATAATTTGAGCTAATGGTGAAAGACACCAGTAGGATACTATAACCATTGGTCAGTTCCAGTACACAACAATTATTTTGATCCACATTGATAACTGATCTAATGGAGAGCTTTAAAAAATGGCTGCAGATTCCTGGTACCTAAACCTGGAAAACTTTAAGGAATATGGTAATTAAAATGAGTGGCCACAAGACCAGAAGTGTGTGTAGAGTGTGTTGTTTCAGTCTGATTCCAATGTGTATACCAGTAAAATCCACTCAGGTAGCAAACTCTGGAAATGAATAGCTCTTGGAGCTTTCAAAATGGCTTTCCAGGGTCTTTGCTGACATCCTTGCAGGACTGCTGGGTGCTGGGCATCCTTGTAAGAGAGCGGATCTCAGGTGGTCTCTACCAGGATAACATCCAGAAGACTTAGACCTGGAGAAACCGGTCCAGCTCTTCTCACAACTGCTCATCTTTAGCTTAGACATGGATGTTTAGTCAACAAATGTGACCACAGGCAATGGCATCTTGTTTATACAGGTTTGCCTGCACTCACACATACATAGAGAGTCAAAGAGTATTTAGACTAGGATGGACTTACAGAAATCATCTGGTCCAACACCCTGCTCCAAACATGTCTAATCCGAGCTGGTCACTCAGGATCATATCCTTTGAATATCTCCAAGGATGGAGATCCCACAACCTCTGTAGACAATCTGTTCGAATGCTTGGCCATCTTCAAGGATGGTCATCTGAAGTTAGCTGCTAAGTCAGCCACCCCTCACCCCCAAATAGTTCAAGCATTCTGCTGTGATGGCCACCAGCAAAACTGTCACATGGAAGAGCTCCAGCAACATGGCCATATCAGGAACACATGTCCTGGCCAAGCACGGTCTTCTGCCAACACGTTTTGGCATGAGGATGCACAAGCAACAACACCGCAACACCAGTTGTTGCAAGCTGCCCAGAACTCTGGTACTCAAATTTCCCAAGGTACATCTGAACCTACTATCCTTCTAAAACCTCCCTAACGCAAAAGGACAAAGTTACAAGTACCTTTTCTTCCCTCCTGATGTTTTCCCATACTCTGTTACACACCATGCACTCAAAGGTGTCAATGTAATTGTCCTGGGTGATATCCTGCACTCCCCACTTGCGTTCCTTCATTGCTGTAAGCAGCCTGGGGTTGGAAATGTCCCCTTTCAGTTTCCATTCAAGGTAAGCCTCATACTCTCGGTCGTTCATATCCAGTCTCTTGATGTAGTGGGCCAGCTCCCGAGGGTGTGAAAATCTAGATACCAGGATTGCACTCTTGTTACTAGGAAGCCAGTCCACAATGCTGGGAGAGCCATAGTACACTGGTACTACCCCCAGTTTCAGTGGCCGCCAAAGCTTTTCAGTGATGTAATCATCACAAACAGCATTTTCAAAGGCAAGAATGAACTTGTACTGTGCTAGTATTTTATAGAAGTTCCCATCATCCATGGCAGTCGGATTTCTGAGAGGCTGAGGAAGGTCCCTGTTATGCAGGCATTCCCCATAAGAGTCTACTTCGATGTGGCACATCAGCTCACGCACATAGCTGTCCCGGTCAGAAGGAGGGTTGCAGTCAGACTGCACATACACAAGCGGTGCAAGCCTCTTCCTCAAGCTGTTCTTCTTCTGCAGAGGGACCATGTGCCTCAAGGACTTCAGAACCTCGATACCCTCAAGGTACTGAGTGGTCAGCGGTAGGTGCGAATGACGGCTGAACGTTGCAGTGTGGTTGAATAAGGTGATGGCTGGTTCATGGAAGAGCTTGTAGTTGTTTTTCGGTGACTCTTCATGGAAAAGGGCCCAGTCGTGATGGCCTTTACGAGGGAGGGGCAGGCTGCCTACACTGAAGTCAGTACCTAACAAAAACAAGCAGTGTTTAGTCTGCCCTTATATTAAGATGTCAGGCTAAAGTTTATTGACACAGAAGTCCTTTGAAGATCCCTGCAAAATGCTCTGGGTCAAAACACAGTCTTTAACTCATAATTAAGCAGGTTTTGCCTTTTATCCCATTGTCTTTACATAAAAAGCTTATGTAATACGGTTATACACACTCCAGATAAAAGTATCTTGATTGTTTCTTTATATATTCACTGAATTAGTAGGATAATAGTGTTTTAGACTTTGCATGACCCAAAATAGGAGGCAACCACTTTGTATTTTACCAGATGTGGTGTTATCATGAACTGTTGTAGAACATTTAAAAAAGCACTTAGCTGGTCAACCCTGTCTATCAAAAAGACAGTTTTGATTTAATATCAGCCCCATAATCAATGCATTTATGACATTATAAACACATAACACAAAGAGTAATTCATGTGTAGACAGAAGACAGGTATAATGGATAAAACGTTTGGCAGCAGCAAAATCTGGAGACGTGGGATCAGCAATTAACACTAGAAACAGTTTACTTTCAGGTCATATTAGTTTTAAGGCCTCATACATCAAAAGTTCACTACCAATTTAATATTTTAATATACTGAAAATGAGACTAATAAGATGCTCAATAATCTGGTTATGTAAATAAGACAGCAGATGCTATTGCCTCTGTCCATGAATGCAGAATGGTTAGTGCAGGGCTGAATTTGCTTCTGGTAGCAAAATAATCCAAAGAATACTAAAATGTTGAGCAGGCTTAAGGAGAAAAAAATACAAGAATGACTTGAAGTCTTGAAAAGACATGGTACTACGGTGACTTCCGAAGCCAATATTTGTAGTTCATTAAAGGGGGAATTAAGAGATGATGCATCACAGCTGCCAATACAGAACATGCAGGAAATGTTTCTGGCAGAAGATGACTCCTCAAAGCCAAAAGTAGAACCATGACTGAACTCTAAAAAGCAGAACACTGTGGGAGAATACAGGAAAAAAGACTTTGGTAGAGTCTTTAGGTCAAATCTAGAAGATTTTTCTGAAAAGGTGATCTGTCCGTAACTCAAAATACTCACTCACAAATCTGATCTTTTCCCTTTGGTACAGCTGGCCATACTCATCTGACTAGCCTGACTGCAGATGAAATGTAAAGCTAATAAATCTCTGTCAAGACAATTCTTCAGTGTCTTAGGACCACGCCAATAAGTGGCCTTGACTAAAGTGTCAGCAACTGAATATATGAAACTTTTAGTCACTTTTGTTAAGCAAGATAGGTTCATAAACAAGACAGGCACTGAAGAGCTGGTTTGACCAACTTTAGAAAAGATCACAAAGCCAGTCTCTTGGGACAAACTGTTCTATCATCCCAGTCACACTCATATAGCTTCTGGTGTCCTTTTCTACCCTTAACCTCAACCCCTTGATCAAAAAAAAGAGAAAGCTGACAAATCATCTTGCAGAATTTTTATCACACAAAAAAACCTAATAAATAAAGAAGGAAAAACATGCCTACTTAATTTCTGTGGCTCCAAGCTGACTCCAAGCTGACTCCAAAGGTGACCTTACAAAAAACAGAAGACTTCACTACTGCAGTGCAGATACTAGGAGGCAATAGCATAAAACCCTCTTACAAAGTAACATCCTTCATGAGCATCAGGTGGAGGCAATAAATGCACTAAAGTCACCAAATATTTGATATTTTCTTTTGCCACCAAAGAATGGTCCCAAAGTCACCTGAGTCTCAGCATTGAGAAGGACAATGTTCTTTCAGCACACCAGCTGCTGAAAAATATTATTTGCTTCCTCTGTTTCTGATGTGTGGTAGTGATGGGAGAAGGTGATGCAATGTAAAAGTGAATTTGATTTTCAGCAGAACAACTTGTAAGGCCTATTTGATTTTGAGAACGTTTTGTTCCAAGTGATGCTAGGAAAAGCAGCAGTACACACAGACAATAATGAAATACTGTGGACTGAAGCCATAGCTCTTCAGGTCTCTTGCATGGTTGTTCCTTCCATGAGGCAAAGGGATGAAGAGGCCAAGAAGGTGGAGACTGGGAAGGAAAATGCACAAAAAAAGCACAAGACAAAGAAAGGGATGAGAGAGAGATAAAAGTGTAACACATAAAACTTACCAAGCAAGAAGAGAATTAGGCAAGGAGAAGCTTGCAGAAAAATGCGTTATAGATAAAAGCATATCAAAGTGATTGATTCTAATATGAGACTTAATCTCAGCCCTGCAAGAAGACAAAGGCTTTTAAGGATTAAAGGGAAGATAATAACAGCATGTTACGTACCCTGCAAGATGATGGAAATTAATAACTTTATGAGGGGACAAAGCAGCACAAAGGATTATAAGCGTGAGCAATTTCAATTTCAAAACTATTAATTAAGACATCTCGGATATATGGCAAAGTGCAGCAGAGAATGACAGATGCTGTCAGGATCAGTTCTGCATCTCTACAGGTCTTTCCTTCAGGATTCATGCTGTAAGGACTCAGCTCCCTTGCACAAAAAAGGCACCAGCTCCTTCCCTCAGAAGACCCTCAGAAGCAACAGAGTTTGTTATTTCATGCTACATACAAAACTGTGTAATGTATGTTGCTTTGAAAAAGTAAAATTCGGAAACTCTCCAAAGTAGTCTGAAAAGACTAGAAAATGGCTTCCAAACAGGAGAGGTGGCATTTGACAAAGTCATCACCCACACCTTTGGGCTTCCCAGGCAATCAACAGAGACAAGCTGCTGGAAAGCAGGGGTTTCTAGCATACCACATCTGCTGGAGAACACCTGCATGCCCCTTTTCTTTGCCTAATATTCTTTTCAAGTTTTGGACCTTTCATCCGTGATGAGTTCACTGGCAAAATATTATGTGAAAATGGAAGCATGTTTTTTGGAAGGTGAAACTGTGCCCTGCTCCAGCCTCAGCATGAGGACGCAAATGTTCAGGTTTTCACTCACCAGGCTGCTGGAAAGGGGAATTCTGGAACAGAAAACTGTACCTACTTGCAGCCCTACTGCAAAGTACACCAAGGGCATAGTGTGTGCATATGTTGTGGGTGAGGTTAGGACATTTGCAAGCCTTGCTTCCTGTATTTCCTAAGCTAGTGTGTGGGTAAGGTTTGTAAGTGTGTGTTTGTAAGGTTTTTCATCTTGATGCAATATTATTTTTGCTTTCAGTATCACTATTAGCTTTGTGACTGAATTTCTTAGCATTATCACAGAATCACAGAATGGTTGAGGTTGGCAGGGACCTCTAGAGATCATCTAGTCCAGCCCCCTGCTCCAGCAGGGACACCCAGAGCACGTGGCACAGGGTGGCATCCAGGCAGGTTTGGAAGATCTCCTGAGAAGGAGACTCCACAGCCTCTCTGTGTCACTAGACACTGTGTCACCCCTTGCCCCTTGTCCTGTCACCAGCCATCATGGAGAAGAGCCTGGCCCCATCCTCCCTACGATCACCCCTCAGGCACTTGACCATGTTGATCAGGTCTCCTCTCAGCCTTCTTTTCTCCGAACTAAACAGGCCCAGCTCACTTAGTCTTTCCTCACATGACAAATGCTCCAGTCCCTTACACACCTTCGTGGCTCTACGCTGGATACTCTCTGGAAGCTCCATGTCCTTCTTGTACTGGGGAGCCCAGAACTGCCCCCAATACTCCAGGTGCGGCCTCACCAGAGTTGAGCAGAGGGGCAGGATCCCCTCCCTCGACCTGCTGGCAACGCTCCTCCTGATGCAGCCAGGATCCCATCAGCCTTCTTGGCCACGAGGGCACATCAATGCCTCATGGTTAACCTGTTGTCAACCAGGACTCCCAAATCCCTCTCCGTGGAGCTGCTTTCCAGCAGGTCAACCCCTAGTCTGTCCTGGTGCCTGGGGTTATTCCTCCCCAGGTGCAGGACCCTGCACTTGTCCTTGTTGAACCTCATGAGGTTCCTCTCTGCCCAACTCTCCATCCTGTCTAGGTCCCTCTGAATGGCAGCACAGCCCTCGGGAGTGTTGGCCACTCCTGCCAGTTTGGTGTCACCTGCAAACTTGCTGAGGGTGCCCTCTGTGCCCTTGTCCAATCATTGATGAACAAGTTGAACAGCACCAGGCCCAGTTCTGACCCTATGTGATCATGTTTTATGGTTTCAAAATAATTTTTTTTCATATTTTAACACTTCTCTTTATATTTAATTCCAAATCAGCATGATTAGGAAAAAAAAAAAAAGTACTGTGAGAGTCAAATATGAATAGACCTTCAAAAGTAGGTAAGTAAATCATGTCCACAGGGCTGCTAAAAATGAACGGTAACTGTTGTGCTAAGGCTAGAGCAGATAAACAGAATTACTACCAAAGTAATGTACCAGAGTAGAAGTATCAGTCTTGATAGCTTTCATGTGATGTGAACCTAACTTTCTCTGTCTTTAACTGGTTCAGCTTCCCATTCCCTTGCGGTTCTTCCTTCTCTTTCACATTTGACCAATGTGCTACCAACAGACAACAGCGACCTACTTGGAGCTCTGCAAGACAAGCGATGAGAAGTTTTTCATTCACAGTTAGCAACTACATCAAAGCCTGCTTTTTTTCCCTGTATTTCCAATTCGCTTGTATCTAGCCTTAGTGAATGAAGATCAGAACTGTTTTGTTTTGTTTTGTTTCATTTCCAGACAAAGGAGCTGAACCTACCACACAGAAACACATTTTTCTTTATTCTTCTGCCTAAAATTCAGTTTTTCTCTGAAAAGTAACTCCCTGGGGGGGAAAAAAAATCAAAATGAAGAAAGTTAAAGCCTACTTTTAAAAGATGTATCTTGTGAGTTTTGTAGACTCACTTTACAGTGCAAGCAACAGAGAATTTCTTACACAGTGCAGCCAGCACAGCTCAGAAAGTTGCACTAACTGCTATTCTCTGTGCAGAATCAATAGATTCCTTTTAGTAAGTTCCATTTACAGTCTGCTGGCAATCTCTTGGCAGGGAAGGCTGGGGCGCTGCACAGCTACCAGCAAGGGCATCATAGTAAAACAAAAGACTCGCGCTAGTGTAACAAAGCCCTTGCAGAGCCTCTCCAAGGGCTGGGAAGCCAGAGGACTGGGAAAAGCTGGCTTGATCTCAGACTGTCTTTGCAGGACTTGGCAGCTAAGGAAATGATCTTTTCTCTCATAAGCAGGGAGCACATGTGACTGGAAAACAGCATGAGACAAGGCAAGAGTCACCCCTCAGATATGCACGGTCACTTTGCAGAGCTCCACTGTACTAAATATGCATCTCTAGATCTGTGTGGATGGTATTCAACACCAGGAAAAGCTTAACAACTTGAACTAGGCATGTTTTCTGTTCCTTGGTTATTCCTACCCACAGTATTTAGTCTGTAATGATGGGACAGGAGGGAAACTCACACCTTCCAAAAGAACCATCTCCTTACCATAGAACAGAAATGCTCTTGTCATCTGATGGTGCTGGTAGGTCCTGTTGATAGTAAAGAAGCAAACATCCTCTCCACACTGACCCAATCTCCCTGTCTCTCCAGTCAGGGGAGACCACCAGAGCAGGATGGGGTAGTGATTTCCATCAGTCCCTTTCTCAGTCTCCGTCTTGAAGTTGCCATGAAGTTCTTGCTTCTTAAATTGAAAAGCAGGTCTCTGCTCAGGCTTTAAAAGGCCACCTTGTACTGCAGTCTTCCTCTCTGAATTGCCCAGTTCAGTGATCACCTTCAGGAAAAGGAACATACATATATCACACGGTGTAACTAAGAAGTGGATGCATTTCACTGACTGTAGCAGCCGTACAGGTGACATTACAGCAGAATAGGGAGGGTTTTAATTTGAATTTGTGTGGAGGAGGCAGGAAATGTATTTCTGTATAGAGGTACACACAAAATTTAACACTATAACTTTTACTTTCTCCATGGAAAATTACAAAAAAAGAGTACAGCCCTTCAGTAGCCAAACTCCTTCTGGAAATAGGTTGCAAACAAGCAACAAGCCAATGGTGTAGCCATCTGTGCCCACCCCACCTTTATGTGGCTGAATATATCAAATACAGATGGATCTTAAAGACAGTCATGTTCCTACAGCTTCTCAGACAGTTAGAGGAGACAAATCCGCGCAACATCTGCAGAGGAGAAAGTCTACTGAGAGCTGTAACTTGCAGATCAGAAATCCAGTGAGGAACCTTAAAAACTCCATACTCATGGGAGAAGCCTCTAACGCTGCCACCATCATCCAGAAGACAAAAGTCCACAAAAATCAGGAGTCCTCAGGAGCTGTGGTGCCCATGGAACCACCACTCTTCTCTAGAAGTAGCAGCATTAATAAAAGTGTCATTGGGCAGAGAAATCAGTTGAGAGGGGGTAAACGAAGCAGCAGAAATGCTACAAGTAAGTGTTACTGGAGGATACACAGCCACTGCTTTAGTGGGGCTAAAACCCTCCTGTTACTGTGCAAACAGTACTTTATATGTGCATCTTCATGGGCAGCACCTAATGCCATCCCACAAACAGCTCCAGGAACGACAGGGGCAAGCACGACCCACCAGTCAGCCTTGGCTCACAGCACTCTGACCCTTTGGATGGCTGTGAAGGAGGGTATTGGAAAGTGGGAGAGTGTTGTTTGTACTAAGTCGGTTAGAAACATTTATCTTCCTTGATAGCTTTATTACTTGTATTCGTTTTGCTGTTTGCTGTGTCATTTTGTCTTACTGTGCAGTAAAATACAGTGATTGTCAGTAGACTAAGCAGCCTCTGTGAAACACAGGATACTGGAGCACACACAGGAGGCTCTGCAGAGCGCAGCTGTACAAAACAAAGCAGAAAGCACTCCCACACTGGCAAGCAGACAGGCTACTGGCTGAGGGAAAGAATCATATGTCCAACAGCTCAGAAAGGTATAGATATAGTAATATAGTTCAAACTGGTCTAGAAATATCACATGTTGCAGGTTCTCCAGCCATGTATTCCCTTTCTGCATGCAAATTTTGCCCTGACAGAAAACCGGGTAGCTCTCTCTCTCCTCCTGGGGACTGAAACATCCCCCGAATATGCACAGCTCGCGGGGACGAGCACAGGAACATGAGGCCCCTCCAGTGAAAAGCATCAGGATGACCCTGGACAATCCACTGTGCAGTGAATGCTCTCAGACATAAACCCTGACATACACAGGGCAGCTCTAACCAGACTCAAAACTGAGCTGTGGAGTCACTGTGGAGTCACGAGCCCTCCCAGTAAAGCTCCAAAAGACCAACCAGTGTTGTCCCCAGGCTGGAACAGCCACACCACCATGGGATGCTCTGTTCCAACGAGCAGAACCAACATAGACCTTTGAGGTGAGACAGTGACTGTCCCAAATAGCTGATTCCAGCCTGCAGGAGGCATGGAGATCATGCAGCCCCTGTCACTGAAGCTCTTCCTGAAGGCTCCATTCTTACTTATCTGAGTTACTGGTCTGAATCAAGACCTCAGTTACAGGCCCAGCCCATATGCAAAGACTTCTCTGGCATAGATCCTGGCCTTCTCATGACTAAAGTCTCCAAAACTCCCATGACTACAGGTCAAGGCTGATTCAGTTTGTCTAAAACCTGCCTCTTCTACTTAAAGGCTGGTGCGGCCTGCCCCAGCCATAATCAATATGCCTCCACGTTGATTCTTTTCTCAGTCACTATTTTATTGACCAGTTGCTGGGCCTCCCTATGCCAAGAACAGCCACTGAACCACAACTGCTGGACAGAGTTGCCACGACCATGTATTGATGTGCTCAGATTTTCCTTGGCTATCAGTCACCCCAAAATGAAACAGGTCTGGCCTTGCTTTCCTGCCTCGTGAGTTCAAACCCACGGCCTTGAGCACACGCACCAGGCAGCCCTCTCCCCCCTCATCCCAGTACCTGGAGCGTCGCCACGAGGAAAAGGGCAGCTGTGAAGCAGAAGCAGGACGCCCACAGCTTCTTCCTCCTGATCCTGATCATGCTGCAGAGCGCCCACGGCGGGTCAGAGCAGGCTGTCAGCAAGGCCCACACATCTGAGCTCCTCAGCCTCTGCTCTGCTGCTTCCTGACGCCATCCTCGCTCCTCTTCATGGAGACAGCTGGTGGAAAGGGGACGGCATCAAGTCCATGCTTCAAGCTCAGCCATTTGTGTCTCCTGGTAGCTTTCTGCAGGTGCCAGAAGAACTCTGTGAGTCAGGTACCTGCCTTCAGCTAAACCAAACGGAAGATAAGGAGCAGTTACTAGAGATCTCTGCACCGAGAACCCAAGGGCGGTTAGCTTGCACTGCACAGCAGCAGGGAGGGCCCTGTAAGAGGCCTTTTTGCCACGTTTCAATCCAGTCTCCCTCAAGCTAGGTTCCCTACCAGCGAGCATCACACATCCTCTCCCTGCACAGCAGGAGGCAGCATGAACAGCAGGTCATGGCCGGGATCATCCTCGTGCAGGAGGAGCAGCTGCTTCCCTGCGTTTTGGGTGTGCTGCTCCTCTGCAAAGTCACACACAAGTGAGTGAGGAAGGATTTCTACCCGGGCGCATCCCCTGGACTGGCTCCGCAGGGGCAGCACAAGTTATCTGGCCTTGGGGTTTGCACAG